TATGATATAAGTTCTAAGTAAGCACCATGATCCGGACAAACAACTCAGGCTAGAAAGAGTATGTACACTACTCACAGCTCCTTCAATAAAATTTTCGGTAGATGGTGATCACTTCATAGTAAAAAAAAATGTTAAAGAACTTTTTAAAATCTGTTTTTCTTTAAGGCTTAACATCTAAACTAGTCTAAATTCTTTAACAACCTGTTGTAACAATAAAGAGAAAGCCAACTGACGTAATGGATTTATGACTTAAGAATTTGTTGTCTCAATTTGTACCAGTAGAAGATTTAAAAATCAGACACACAAAACTGCCTCCTTTAAGGATACCTCACACATTCAACAATGTGGTAAATTAGCCTTGCTTGCTATGACAGAAAGTTCAACTATGATCACAGCTTAAAACAAACAACCAAACAAACAAAACACCCAAAAAACAACCAAACAAAAAAAACCCTGCAGGTGAAAAACCCTAACTCATTGTTCAAAAAGAAAGGTTCATTTAAAATCTGCATGTGGAAATACTTTTTTTTGGGGGGGTATGGGGAGGATGGGACAGGGTTCTCTGTGTAGCCTTGGCTGTCCTGAAACTCACTCTGTAGACCAGGCTGGCTTCAAACCCACAGATCCACCTGCTTCTGCCTAAGTGCTGGAATTAAAGGTATGCTCCAGACATGAACTGATTGGCCTGCTCGTTGATCATTTTGATCACTTACTCCTGAGGGGGCAGTAGCCTTACTAGGCCACAGAAGAAGACAATGCAGCCACTCCTGATGAGACCTAATAGACTAGGATCAGAGGGAAGGGGAGAGGACCTCCCTTATCAGTGGACTGGGAGAGGGACATGGTTGGGGAAGAGGGAGGATGGGATTGGGAGGGGAGAAGGGAGGGACGTACGGGAGATAAAAAGTGAATAAACTGTAATTAATAAAAAGAAAAAAAAAGACAAACAAAACAACAACAACAACAAAGGCATGCTCCACCACAGCGTGGCAGAAGTAACATTTCTAAATGAAACTCTTAATAGGTTCTTATCACTTACCTTACTTTCAAAAAGATGGTTATAGGCAGTAACCAAATGGTCCTTATTAGCAGTCTTAGCTACATTTTTTATGTTTCCCAATAATTTATGTTCTGCAAGAAACTTCAAAGAAAAAAAAGGTTATTAGTTAAAACATTTTCCCTTGAGCAGGAAGGATCTAAAATTAGAAAACAGAATCTGGACTGAGGATGTAGCTCAACAGGTAGAGTGCTTCCGTGGCATGCACGAAACCCTGGGTCCAAACCACATGCCGCATGAACTGCATTTGGTCATGCACACCTAAAATCCTAGTACTGAGAGGCATCAAGACCACAAGCCAGGTATACAGGGAGCTTAAGACTAGGCTGAGATGCAGGAGACCCTGTCTCAAGATAAGAAAAAACAGAAAATGGGGCCTGGTGTGATGAAGTTATAGACGGCGGCAGGATGATCCCTTGAGCTTAGGAATTCAAGGCCAGTCTGGCCAGAGAGTAAGAACTTGATTCAAAACAAGAAACTTAGAAACAATCTTTTTGTGCTAGCTGCTATGTTTTCAATAGTAATAATGAAGAAAGAAACACTGTTTTATATACCATTTTTAAAAAGCAGACTTTAAAATATCAGGTATTAAAGTGATGGAATTATAGTATATGTAGGAGACAGATTCATTCTGACCTTTCTCCCATGACAGGACTCACATAAAAGAATAGCCATTAAGCATACTATAAGCAGCTACTCCTGGCCGAATGGTACTTGGCACACCTTTGGAAACCTCAAGCCATGTTGGATACCCTGACCTATCCACAACCCACTTTTGGGTAAGGTTAGTGTGCGTGATGTGGAGTCTTATTATCTGAACTAAAATCTTAGCTCTTACCCTAGACTAGCGATCAAGCTTTTCAAAAGACTCAGGTTTAGAACTAGAGGACAGTCTGATGACTTTGAGTTCAATCTCTGCATCCTGCATGGTAGGTGAGAACAGACTCCTGCAAGCTGTCCTCCACACACACAATGTAAATAAAGTGAAACAGACCCAGATCCTCTACCTTTGGTTCAACATTAGAAGTATATATTAAGAATGATGAAAGCTGAAGTGTAATGGTCTCTCACATAGGAGGAGACTAACAAACCTAAATTTGATTCCCAGAACCCAAAGAGAAAACTAATTCCTACAAGTTGTCCTGTGACCTCCACAAGTGTCATGGCACTCATGACCACACACATTATGCCAAAAACTAAATAAACAAAGCACCTCCCAGGCCGAGGCAGGATGGAGAGTTCTGGAACATCTTATGCTACATAGTAAAACCATCTCAAGAAACAAACAAAAAAAATCAAGCAACAGGGCTGGAGATGGCTCAGCGGTTAAGAGGACTGTCTGTTCTTCCAGAGATCCCAAGTTCAATTCCCAGCAAGCACATGGTAGCTCACAACCATCTATGAGATCAGATACCTTCTTTTGGTGTGCAGCTGTATATGAGGACAGAACACAGTATATATAATAGATAAATGAATGTTAATCTTAAAAATAACCTTTAAAAAAATCAAGCAACAATAATTAAAAAAAATCAATTCATGTTATGTTCATCTTAAAATCTGGTGAACGTTAAAAATCTTTTGTGTTAAAAAACAAAACAAAACAAAAAACCCCAAATAGCTGGGCTTTGGTGGTACATGCCTTTATTCCCAGCACTTGGGAGGAAGAGGCAGGCAAATCTCTGAGTTCGAAGCCAGCCTGGTCTACAAAGCAAGTCCAGGACAGCCAAGGATACACACACAGAGAAAGCCTGTCTTAGAAACAAGAAAATAAATAACAAAGAAAAAAAGAAACTTGTATGTCTGAGTGCCTGTGGATATACAAAAAGCATTCATGTTATGCTCAACTCAGGATTCCTCAGGTGGAGGTTCTTGCTTTCCATCTTCAGACTGGTTCCCTCTTACAGGCTGGCTGGCCTAAGGGCTTTCAAGGATTCTCTTAGTCTCCATTTCCCCTGAAACACTGTACTTACAGGCACATACCACCTCCTACAGCTTCGGTTGCTCTGGGCAGCCTAACTCATAGCATCATACTTGTGAGCCATTTCTCCAGCCCTTAATTCTGGTCTCCTTCCTTTACTGTATTTAGAAGTTCCTGGTCTCCAAATTTTCTTAATTTCTCAAAGCTGTTTTCTAAGAGATTTTTTTAAACCACTTTTTGTCACTATTGCATTTTTTCAGTCTTCCTTCCCCTCATTTTTTTCTTCTTTTGAGACAGAGTCTCAAAATATGTAACCCTAACCAGCCTAGAACTTAGTACGCAGACCTGGAACTCAGAGAGCTACCTGCCTCTGTCTCTGGGATTAAAGGTGTGTACCACCATAACCTCTACTCCTAGTAACAAAAATATTTTAAATGATAAAAGACTGGAGAAAGATGAGAGAAGTTGGTTATATAGAAGTAACCAATTACTTTAGCACTCTTGTGATTTCTTTGAAAGAGTCCAGAAAAGTATCTAAAATACAACTACAGCTCAAGAGAAAATCCATTAAGCTGGCATAAGGGTCTACTTGTAAAGGTATCTTTTCCTTTTCACTCCTGTATATTCGAACATAGTTCTTACTCTTACTACATGTTATATAAATACTGGCTGAACTATATCCTTATGCCAGGATAATTATGCATATGTAAGGATGTGGAACTCTGAGAGTTCTTGAATCTCCCCCACAAGATCCTAAGTGAAAATACAGTCTTTTCAAAAGAACCTAGAAAGCCTGGTTGGTGACCTGTCTGTATTCCCAGCACTCACACACAAAGGTAGGCAGACTGCTGAGTTCTGTGAGTTCAAGCCCAATCTGGACTAGGACAGCCAAGGCTACACAGAGAAACCCTGCCTCAGAAAAACAAACCAAAAGCAAACAAAAACAAACCTAGAAACTTTAAAAAATGGTAAAACACAGGCATGAGTATGTAAATGATCGCTGGAGAATATCCATTTAAATGGATGTCACCAGAACCATCTTTTGGTCAGGGCAGTGGTACACCCCTTTAATCCCAGCACTCTAAAGGCAGAGGCAGGCGGATCTCAGAGTTTGAAGCCAGCCTGGTCTACAGAGCTTATTTCAGGACGGCCAAAGGCTACACAGAGAAACCCTGTTTCAAAAACCCAAAAGGATTTTCTTACTTTGGAATCACAGAACACTAGATTTTTGACATTTTAGAATCTGAAAAACTGCAGAAAACCAAATCCAGGCTGGACCTTCTATTTCTAAATGGTAAACACATGCACAACGCGTCACCATTCAACAATTTAACGAGGTAGAGAACACATGGTGGCTTATGCCTGTTACCCCTAGCACTTGGCAAGGGGATCAGGAGTTTGAGGCCAGTCAGGGCTACGTGAGACGCTGCCCCCCAAAAAACATTAAGGGGAGGAGGGTAGCCAGAATGAATGATATTTCTGAAGGACAAGGCAAACGAGAATAATCTGTAACCTACAAATGGGTGGTTAAGATGGAGACAAAGCTGAAAACTTAATTTTTTTTTTTGAAAAATTTCAGAATTTTTTAAATCTGAGTGCTTATAAGTATGGAGCACATTATAAAAAAATTCGCATTTAATTCCCCTAATTATAAAGTTATTTTGTAAAAGATTTCGTAACAAAGTTAAACAGTAATGTATGGGTTTTTGAAAAATCAGATTATATAGTTCCGTAGTTAGTAAACAGGTAAGACAAGCAAGATGCACACGAGGCTCCCACAGATTTTATAGCCCTCCCATTTCGCCGTGGCCAGCACTCAGCGCCCGGGAATCATGCACTCCCGATTCCTCGCCCCCGCCCCGGACGCCAACAACGGAGGCTCCTTTTTCTCAGGTCCTCGGCCCTCAGAGATCCCGAAGGAGACTTAAATATACGACGGCAGCTCGCTCGCCTGCCCTCGGAGACAAGGCCAGTCCCCGGAGAAGCTGGGGCGGCCCAAAGGGCGGGAAGGTGCGAGCTCTCGCGGGTCGCTCGGGCCTGGCCAGCATGGGCCACGGAAGGCGAGGGCGGGGGCACCGAGGAATCCGGGATGTATGGCATCTCCGGGGGGGTGAGGCGGCCCCAGGCCGCCCAGGCCTGGCCTCCCAGATGCCTCTGGTACCGAATCTGAACCGTGATCCTGCAGAAACTTGATAATGTCCTTCTTGGGCAGCTGCTCGCTGCGCAACTGCTCCACGGTCCATGCACGCTGCGGAACGGCCGCCGCCATCTTCCCCCACTGCCTCCGCTGCACTGAGCCAGCCCGCCTCAGTCCCGCGCTGCCCCGCCCCCGGGGCGTGGCTTGAGGGCTGCGCCACGCTGGAGGGGCGGGGCCTCCGCCTCGGAGTCAGCTCACCCTTCCTGCGCAGCCCCGCCCCTGAAGCGTGGACGGGGCATGCGTCGTGCTCGATGGGGGGGCGGGACTTTGCCTTTCTAAGCCTGGGAAGTTTTGTCGGCGCCTGGCCCGGAGGCTGCGGGATACTCAGGGGCGGGGCCTGAATGGGAACCGGAGGTGGCCTTGAGTGATGTCAAGCAAGGCTGAGCTGTGAGGGCTTTGTTGAGTTCCACAGCTGAATGCAGTCAAGAAGTTAAGGCTCGGTAGTTTGACGCTTTGTGAGACGTTTTTTTGGGCATATACCTTGTCTTTAAAGGTACAGGCTGTAAACTGTTTAAAGAGACTAAGAACAGCCTTCCGGTTTTCCATCTCATTTTATCTAGTTCTACGCTAATCGCATCTGAATTGACTTAGTCCTTACCCATCAAAACAAGTTACACAAAACTAAATAAAAACTTCCCTCAAACCAAAAGACAGATGTTCGTCTACACACACATTTGGAAACTCGGATGGAAGAATGTACCTCTTTCCGATAGTGAGGGTGGCATACAGCAGGAGGTACATGATGTGTTGGTACTCTGCTTGTCTGAAGCACAAAGCTATGGCTAACAGAACGGCACACGGACGCTTACTGCTCAAAATCTGTGATTATTATGTAATAGTGCAGATACACACCGCAGATACACTGTATGCCTTGGGAGCCTGTATAGCCAGCCCCTTGCAAGCTGAGGGAGGACACTGGCCAGTTCAGGACCATTTTGGTCGACGTGGTGAGTTTCAGGCCAGAGTAGGCCTCAGAGCAAGACCCTGTGTGAAACACAAGCATATGGAGGAAAAAGAAAAAGAAATCCCATGACAGAAACTTGTTTTAGTTTCCCAGTGAATACAGGGCCAGAGCACATTTACTTTCTTTAGACAAGCAAAATGTTAAAATGATGGGTTGCCATTTCTAACACGGAAGACTACGTTTTCCTCAGCACAAATGGAGAAAAATATAAATTGTTCAATTCTATCTTACTTTTGCTTTTATTCTCATCTTCAGGCTTAAATATTCAACAACGTTAAAGTCACAAATCATGAGTGAATACTTTCCCTGAGATCTCAAAGTCATTATAAGTGGTTGCACTTTAGCAATGACACCTCATCTTTGGAAGCAAAGTAAAAAACTACCTTCTAGTATGTACTCGGGGTCTGGAAAACTCTGTGTAGCCAAGGATGACCTTGAGCTCCTGATTCTCCAGACTCCCCCTCAGGCAAGCGCCACCCCGCCAGGTTTTCGCTTGTATTTAAACCCTCTCGGAAGAGGTAAAGGAAACAAGAGCACATGCAAAAGCTTGCAAAGAATACTAAATCCAGGAGCGGGTCCCGGGACGCACGGGCAATACGCATGCGTTTCGGCGGGGTTTCCGGAATGGCAGCCAATCATATCCCCGCCGCCGAGGAGGCGGCGGCTTTTTCAAGCTCACGGCTGCGGCCGGTCCCGCCTCCGGGGTTCCAGTGCAGCGGGCGGGGCGCCGATGGGCGAGCGAGCCCGGGCGGTTGCGCTGCGGGCCGGCCGGCTTCCTCTGCGGAGCCCCGCTGCTGCTGGGCGCCATGAGCGGACGGCAGAGAACGCTCTTCCAGACGTGGGGCTCGAGCCTCTTACGAGGCGCCGGCGCTCCGGGCTGCGGCCGGGCGCCCTCGCCTGCAGTGGCGGAGGCGCTGCCGGAGGAGGAGGACGACGACGACGAGGTGCTGCTGCTGGCGGCGTGTGAGGCGGAGCGGAGGCTCGATCCCGCGGACGGCGGCTTCTGCGCGGCCGCGGGCGCCCTGTGGATCTACCCCACCAATTGCCCGGTGCGCGACTACCAGCTGCACATCTCCAGGACCGCGCTGTTCTGCAACACCCTGGTGTGCCTGCCCACCGGGCTGGGGAAGACCTTTATTGCCGCCGTGGTCATGTATAATTTCTACCGCTGGTTCCCTTCCGGCAAGGTGGTCTTCATGGCACCTACGAAACCCCTGGTGACGCAGCAGATGGAAGCCTGCTTTCACGTGATGGGCATTCCGCAGTCCGACATGGCTGAAATGACAGGTATCGGAGAAAAACTAAACTCTGGGAGAAAGGCTCTTTTTTGGAAATAACTATGCAGGCGGACGATTTCCCCAGTGCAAACATGTTCATTCTACATTCTTTCGCCTGTCGATAGCGAAGCCAAGTCAGAAGCATGTAGACTTGCTCTAGTTACCCGCAGAGATAGCTTGTAAATTGCCAGTGCTTTGAAAAAATTGTGTGTGTGCTGAACATATTTCTTAGCATCCTTCCCAAGAAGCGTTTGTTCCCTGAGGAAGTTGCTTCTCCTCAGATCTTATGTTCTTCTGTGGGAGTTACCTAAAGACATTGTAATTGCAGGCTTAGATGAGAGTTGGGTTGCTTCAGAGCTCCAAAATGTAACCAGAGCATGAATGTATTCAGAAAGTAAACCACACTACTTATACTCTTCAGATGATGGTGGTGTGCAGTTTCTGAATGTTTTGGTATGTGTTTCTTCGGTTGTGTTTTGAGACAGGGTGTTGCTGGGTAGCCTGGGCTGGCCTGCAACTCCATATGTAGAACAGGCTAGCCTTGAACTTGGAGTTGTCTTCCACCTCAAGCTCCAGAGTGCTGGGGTTTCAGGGGACTGCCATCACACCCTGCTCCACTGTCACTTTTATTCACAGGTTCAACTCAAGCCCTCAACAGGAAGGAGATATGGTGCAGCAAGAGGGTCCTTTTTCTTACACCTCAGGTCATGGTGAATGACCTGACTAGAGGGGCTTGTCCTGCTGTCCATGTAAAGTGTCTCGTGATTGACGAAGCTCATAAGGCTCTTGGGAACTACGCCTACTGCCAGGTAATGCTTTGTCAAATGCTGTTTTGTACAGAACACATACATTGTTAAGGAGTGTTTCTGGGGATAGGTCTCAGTGATGGAAAGTATGCCTAGTGAAAAGCATTACAGTCACTGGGTCAGAACAGATGGTGATGGGAAGTACATTCCCTTGTGCATTCAGATCTGTGTCTGCTGGTTTTTTTTTCTTTCTTTCTTTTCCTTTCCTTGTCCTTAACCCCTTCCCACCTCTCTCTTTTGAGACAGGATCTCACTATGTAGCTTTCCTAGCCTGCAACTCACTCTGTAGACCAGGCTGGCCTGGAACTTGAAGAGCTCTGCGTGCCTCTGCTAGAACTAACAGTGTATGCCACCACACCGCTGCCTCCCTAACTTTAGCAAGGCCATTAATGTCAGATATGGGTCCTGTTTCTTGGCTTCCTTCCCAATAAGGACTTTCCAGTTTAAGAGTTTGCTTCTCCTCATATCTTTTGCTCTTCTGTAGCAATTGTCTAAAGACAGTATATTTGCAGTCTTACATAACAGGCTGCCTTGACACTTGGGCTTCATCAGCGATCCAAAAAAGAAACATTCCAACGAACTGTCAAATTGTTCTCCACTTAGAGTACCTGACATAAGAGCAAGTAGGCAAGACTGTTTATAGTCTATAGATAAGCCTGGGCTTAGTTTAGGCAATCATTTAAAGTGGGGCATAGGTGGAATTTGGAAGTAATCCAATTTTAGAAGTGGATCTATAGCACCATCGTTTGGCCTTTGGGTAAGATGACAAACACTTGTCAGTGTTGTAAGGCGTGAGTGACATACTGTATCCAGCACACTTATCTGTGCCTCCCACTTGAGCACTCTGAAGAGCAGAAGCAGCTGTGTTTGGTCTTAGAAGTCATTCATCTCTTTTTCACTAAATGGAAATAATCCCCTCCTTCCCTCTTCTATTAAGGCGACACTGCCTATTCTGTCCTACTTCCATATTTGTCATAAAGGCAGTTTTTACAATTTGGGGGTTTTTAGCTGTGTATGTAGATGCACGTATGTAGATGAGCGGGTAGGTTTGTGCACCTGTGAGTGAAGGTGCCTTCAGAATCTAGATTAGGTTGTAGAGCTAGAGTCCCAGCTCTGCAGCGTGGGTGTCGGGACAGAACTCAAGCTCTGCAAGAGCAGTATGCATCCTTAACTGCCTGGCTGTCTCCTGAACAAGTATCTGTTGCTACTTTTAAAGGTATCACGTTTGGAGGTATCTGTTGCTATTGTGATTGTTGAGATAGGGTCTTTTTGAATCAAGGTTGACCTTTGGCTTGGAATACTCCTGACTCAACCTCAAGTGTGGAAATTATAGGTGTGTGCCATCATAGCCGGTGTCTGGAGGTGTGTCATGTCCATGCAGTAGATGAGGAGGATATGTGTCAGTGGAATTTTGAACTTTTGAGTACAGATCTTTAGAAGTACAGAAGTACAGTAGTGCAGAAAACAGGTAGTAGCTAAAGCCGGCGGTCTTTCCAAAAGGGATGATGCCAGGTTGAGGACAGAGAGTAGGAATTAGAAGAGAGAGAAAGAAGGAAAGCCAAAGACATGGATTTCACTGCCAGTTCATGGATTTGTAGTTATCTTGGAGATAAGAAGTATTGTTATTGTATTACTCTGTATTATCCTAAGGAGTATTTTTCCTTCTTTGTTTCTTTCATTTATTTTAGGTTTTTGAGTCACGGTTTCTCTGTGTAGCCCTCAGCTGTCCTGGAACACACTTTGTGGACCAGGCTGGCCTTGTACTCAAAGATCCACCTGCCTCAGCCTCCCAGATGCTGGTAATGTATCCATGAGCTACACTGGCTTCACTTCTCAGGCATGATAGTTTGCTAGATGTACTTGTCCTCGGTATATGTAACACAGAACGTTACTTGGCCCAAGACCTCTTCATTGTCTGAACGCACCCTTTGCATTCTGGTTCTCATACAGCAGTTTATTTTTTACTTGAAGTACTAGGAATGGAACTCAGCATGCTGGGCAGGCAGACTACTACTGATCATCCCCAATCCCAATAACTTTTATTTACGTGTTTTGTTATTGTTGTTTATAGACAAGGTCTTACTTATGTGGTCCAGACTGTCCTTGTACATGCTGTAATCCTTAGTTTCCTGAGAGTTGAGGTTGCAGTCTCCCACCGCATTCATCCTAAAAAGGTTATTTTTTATTTTTAAGCACCAATCCAACCTGTGGGTCATAACCCATTTGGAGGGAGTTGAACAACATTTTCACAGGAGTCACCTTAGACCGTAGGAGAACAGATATTTACAGAAAAATTACAGTTAGGAAGTAGCACCGAAAATGATTTCATGGTTGGGCTTTACCATAACAGGAGGTCCTGTATTAACCGTTTTCAGTGTTAGCAAGGTCGACAACTACTGGCTCATATCTTCGTTCCTGCACCCTTGCCTTTGCTTTTCATCCTTCTGCAGCCTCCGAGGATACCACTTGTAGCACTCTGCTGGCTAGTTTTTGTCAACCTGACTTAAAGTAGAGTCACCTGGGCAGAGGGAATCTCAGCTGTGGAATGGCCCCGTCAGAGGCCTATGTATAAGTCTGTGGGTCATTTTCTTGATTACTATTACTGTGCAGTGGCCAGCCCACTGTGAGTGCTGCCACCCCTGGCAGGTGCTTGTGAATTGACTGAGAAAGCAAGCCTCGCACTCTAGGAAGCTGCATTCCTCCCCTCCGTGGTCTCTGCTTCAGTGCCCGCTCTGATTTCCATCATTTCACCCATTAACTAACTTCTAAGATGAAATAAACCCTTTCCTCCCCAACATTGCTTTTAGTTAGTGTTTCATCACAGCAACAAAAAGCAAAGCAAAGTGAATACTGACACAAAAGTGGTTATTGAGACCATTTTATCTTGCATGAAAGTTTTTGTTTCTGCCGTGCTGGGGAAGAATCTTAAGGCCTTCCTTGTACATGCTAGGCAAACATTTTCCTACTAAGTTAACTCGTCAGGCCTTTCTATCACTTCTAGTTTTCCCTTCCGTTTCTGTACTTCACTCTGTAGCACAGGTTGGCCCAGAACTAATCTTGATTTTTAACAATTCTGCTATCTCAGCCTCCTGATTTCTATAGTTATTGGTGTGCCCCATCATGTTTGCCTTCATTAGTTCCTGGAGTAATTCTACAGAACTCTGCCTTATGTATAATGGTTATATGTCCAGCATATATATGTGTTATTTATATAACTACCTTCTATAATGTTTTGCGCATTGGTCGAGATTCAGTGTGTCATGAAATCTAAATCATTTGTTTATGGAGTGAAATGATTGGTGGTATTTCCATACACCAGACTATCAGTGTATCAATAGAGGAATAATGATAACAGACCATATGTAATACCTTGTTCAACCACTGTTGAACCACTGTTATTTTCACACTGAGCAGATGAAATTAAAGAACTTTTTTTTTTTTAAGGTTGTAAGGGAACTGGTCAAATACACAAATCATTTTCGAGTCTTGGCTCTTAGTGCCACACCGGGTAGTGATATCCAGGTAAGTACCATGACTTTCTATTTACTATGTAGAAGAAAATACAAATTTTTTATATGGGGCCAGATCAGTTTTCCGTTGTAGTGTTTATTTGGTTTGACTTGAGGACTGTGGCATTTCTACAACTGTAGAAGTTCCTTTATGTTAGTAGCAGCATTTGTCTCTCCGTCTTTTGTGTGTGTGTGAGAGAGAGAGAGAGAGAGAGAGAGAGAGAGAGATAGATATTGGGCTTTATGTAGTCTAAGGTGGCCTGGAAAGACCTTGACTTCCTTATGAGAGAGAGAGAGAGAGAGAGAGAGAGAGAGAGATATTGGGCTTTATGTAGACTAAGGTGGCCTGGAAAGACCTTGACTTCCTTATCCTCTCTGTCTCTGCTTCCTGAATGCTGGGCCTATACACATGCCATCACTAGGCCTAACTTCACGCTGTGCTGGGGATGAACCCAGGTTATAGTGCATCCTAGGGCAAGTACTCTGCCACTGCAGTAGATCCCTAGCCCAGGCTTGCATTTGCAGTGTGACTTCTGCAATAAAGACCCATGTTCTCTCAAAACCATGTTCACGTACTCATTTCTTTGTGTCCATGAGCTCTAATGTGTATTTACTGTTTTTCTGTGGACCAAATCGGGCATTATTTTGTCGCTGGTTGTCCCAGCTTTGCCCATTGGGAAGATTTTGAAATGACTTCTATGTCTGTTAGTCCTGGACCACCACACCAGACCACCTGTTCCTTTTTCAAAATATTCCTTAACTCCCTGGCATCACAAAATAGTTAGTATTCATTTTTTTTTTTTTTTCCTCTCTTCTGACCATGGAATCAACCATTTCTCTCTGGGAAATAAGAAAAATGCAGACTTCCCCTACTTGGTGCAGGTCATGGAATCTGGGCTTCATGCCTTGCATGCAGTCTGCCATTTGAGCAGTACCCTAGTCCCCAAGTCAGAGTCTGAGTTGTACTGCTGAACATGCCGATCTCTAGGTAGCATGCTGTTTGTCTGCTGGTGCTTTCACCGCTGCCACGCTGCAAGGCTCTTTCTCCTTGCATAATCTTTTGTGTTTATTTTTTGCTGATTCCATACTCCATGCGTAGTCTTCCTGACTAGTAGAAATTTCATCTCTTCTTTTCCTCTTTATTCTTGTTTAAACATGCTTAATTTTTCTGTCAGCTATTAAATCACTGCTTAAATATTCCATTTAAAAACATTTATTTTAACGAAATCATCAAAAGTCAGCTTTTTTTTTAAAAAAGATTTATTTATTATGTATACAATGTTCTGTCTGCATGTACACCTGCACGGCAGAAGAGGGCACCAGATCTCATTCTAGATGGTTGTGAGCCACGATATGGTCCCTGGGAGTTCAACTCAGGACCTTTGGAAGAGCAGCCAGTGCTCTTAACCTCTGAGCCATCTCTCCAGCAAAAGCTTCTTTTTACTGTGCTACATTTTCTTTTTATCATTTGTATGTGTGCATGTGTGTTCTTGCTTGTGCTTAAACACAGAGCTCAGAGGAAGGTGGCAGGCATCTAGCTTCGTCACCCTCCTCCATATCCCTTTGAGACAAGACTTGCCGCTGAAGCTGGAGTTAGGCTGGTAGTCATCCGGCCACCAGGCTCTTCTGGTGTCCCTATCTCTACCGCCATAGAAGCGAGTTGTAATAATGTACATACAGTCACACCTAGCTTTTACCTTTTGTTTTTGTTTTGGCTTTTTGAGACAGGGTTTCTCTGTGAAGCCCTGGCGGTCCTAGAACTCACTCTATAGACCAGGCTAGCCTCAAACTGACAGAGATATGCCTGCATCCACCTCCCAGGTGCTGATATTAATGACATTCACCACCACTGCCCAGCTCTTTACTTTTTAATGTGATACTTGTATCCAAATGGAGGTCCTCATGCTTTCATACCAAGCACTCTTACCCACTGACTCATCTTTCCAGCTCTATTGTTTCTTAATTTAGAATTTACCAGTATCTGTTTCCTTCTCTTTGAAACATATTTATTATCTTTTACTAAACTATAAAATACATGTTTGCAGTGATTAGGCCTATTTTAGCAATAGTTTATCACTGACTGAACACCTGGCTCATGAAATTTACTCAGATAGTAGCTCACGATTGTAATCCCAGCACTTACAGATCTAATGCAGGAAAATCACCTCTAATTTGAGGCCATCCTAGGTTATATAGTGAGATCCAGGCCCATCTAGCTACAATGAGACTGTCCTAAAATTATTAATAATTAAAAAAAATCCCAGGGAACAAGAAAAATTGTTGAGTGAATAAAATATAAAAAATATTGTTGGGTGTGGTTTTGTACATGCCTTTAGTTCCATCCCCGAGGAGACAGAAGCCAGCAGATCTCTATAAGTCTGAGGCCAACCTGGTCTTTGTGGTGAATTCCAGGGCAGCCAGAGCTATACAATAAGACCCTGACTCAAATACATAGATAATAATAAATGAAAGCCTTCTTTCTTTTCTTTCTTTCTTTCTTTCTTTCTTTCTTTCTTTCTTTCTCTCTCTCTCTCTCTTTCTCTCTTTCTCTCTTTCTTTCTAAGTCAGAATTCTTTTCATTTTGTTTGTTTTTCAAGACAGGGTTTCTCTGTGTAGCCTTGCCTGTCCTGGACTTGCTTCATAGACCAGACTGACAGAGATCCACCTGCCTCTGCCTCCCCAAGTGCTGGGATTACAGGTGTGCACAAACGCACTGGGCTTCCTTTCTTCTTTTATGTTTGTGAGACAGAGAGAGTCTCACTTTGTAGCTCAGTTGAAACTTAGTACAAAGGCGCTAATCATAGTGGCAGTGCTGTCGTCTTCTGATTCAGTAGTTGTAAGTCCCACTGAAAGCTCTAAGTGAGGGAAATTTACCTCAGAAGGTAGTACATCATATATCTAGTCACTGATCACTGTATTGTTATGTTTTTTATGCAGGGTTTTGAGGTGTACTTCAGGCTAGCTCCAGACCTGTAACTGAGATCGCTGTCTAACTTACACTTCACTGCTTCTGCACAGGCTGTTCAGCAGGTAATTACTAACCTGCTGATTGGGAAGATAGAGCTTCGCTCAGAGGATTCTCCGGATATTTTGCCTTATTCTCATGAAAGACGAGTTGAGAAGCTCGTTGTTCCCCTTGGGGAAGAACTTGGAGCCATCCAAAAGACGTACATCCAGGTAAGCGATTCTCATCAGTTTGTGGTTCCGATAAATAAACAGGTAATGGAATTATTTCAATTAGAGTAGAGTAGAATATATGTGCAGAGTTTCGTTTCATATAATTATAAAGTTAAAAAAATCTCTGAAATTGAAACTTTTGAGGTTCGTCATCCCTATTTTCATATGCACTAAACCAGTTTTTGTTTATAAAAATGGGCCACTTATAAAACATTAATAGCTTTAAGGCAGATGTGGTGGTGCTGGGATTGCCATTGCCTGCCTAATGAAGACATATCTAAAGGACTCTGGGCTTTATCTTTTCTTCAGTAAAACAGATGTAACCTAGTCCAGACTTGAACCTGTGCCCTGAGTGGCCCATCTACTTGAGTATTAAAGTTAGAGGAATTGTGGGAGGTCTCTGCAGGCTTTATAGAAATGGTGTGGGTGAGGGAAGAATGAAACTCAGTTCAGCCCGATTTTTGCAACTGGTGCTGGGCCAAGATTTCAAGAGTCTGACGTCAGCTCATTTATTTTTGCCATATTTAATCATAGCATAGTTGAGGGGAAAAGTTTTCAGATGACAACAGTTAACTCAGTCCCATGAGTCAACAAAGCTTAAGACATGCTTACATTAAAGCTCTTTACAGACTATATATGGTTTCATCTGTAAGATGGGTTCTTGTTGACTTACAATGCTCAAGACAAGGGTCTAGGGAGAATGAGGTAAACAAAATCCCTGCGGGCACCAGGATTGGCCCATCTCTAAGATAGCAGAGAAGTCACTTAAGCTGTTGTAAAGGACAGGTGGCATTTCTCACAAGGATGAGTTTTATGGCCTAGAAGTAACACTCAAGGTTTTACGGGAACAGTATCTGGGAAAAGTAAGACGTAAATTTGGAGAGATAGAAGTGGAGACCACCTCATCAGACAGCAAAAGATTACCAGGTTGTAACCTCATTTTCCCCCAGCATTCCGGGGAAATAGCCAAACATCTTCCCCCTTTGGAGAAACCATCTGTGTGTTTAACTGACTTCTCTAGTGCTTTTCTGTGTGCACAAGAACATTTTTGCCTTCAACAAGGAATGTGGCAACATTCCCGGTGAGTGTGTGTGCATGCACACATATGTATTCTGTGCATGCCTGTGTGTTCCTAATGGTATGACTACATCCTGCTCAGTCTGTATGGTGGTACTTATATGTATGTATGATTCAAAGCTGACCATTAGGTGTTAAATAACCAGTTGGTGTGCCTTTCCCTGGGAAGATTATTTCCATTGTTCTCAGCATTCCTTAGTTGCCTGTAGTTCTTTGTCTAGGGTTGAGGCCTCATGAGCTGATTGTATTTTTTTAAGTGAACCTTTGAACTACAGTATGAAATACACACATATTCATTGCCCACAAACTGTGGCTCTGAATTTTCACAAAGTGAACATATCCTTAATTCAGCCAGAAGTTTCTTTTTTTTTTTTTTTTTTTTTTTTCTTTTTTTTTGAGACAAGGTCTTTTTATGTATCCCTACCTATCCTGTAACTCGCCATGTAGACCAGGCTGGCCTCAAACTCAGAGATCTGCCTGCTCCTGCCTCTTGAGTGCTGGCAGAAGGTAATTTGTAATATTCTTAGAATATGATTCTCAAATGGAAATGATTTTCCTCCTCAGGTAATGTCTGTCAGTGTCTTGACTTTGTTGTTTTGACTGGGAGCAAGGGACAGGGTAGAAAGGGGGCCTGGTGTAGTTTCTATTACTCTTTCTGTGTCAGGCCAGGACATGACTGCCGTCCTACAGTGGAGAGAATAGCCATCCCAGAACAAGGAATTCTCTGGCCCACTTACCACATGCCAGCTTTGCAGCCAGTGATTAACTGCTAGAGTTTTAGTTTTGAGGCAGTTCTGTCTGTCCTTTATAGTCTCACAGGAAGAACCTTGTGTTTTCTAATCTTCGTCTTCGGGGATTAAAGGGGCTTCCCCCCCCCCCCCCCCACACACACACTTATCCCACTGAGAGATGGGATAAAGTTTCCCTTTCTTCAAATTTGAGCTTGCCCTGATTTATAAATAAGCTGGTAGGCCAGGCATGGTCACAAATACATTTATTCTCAGCACTTGAGAGGCAAAGGCAGGCAGATCTCTGTGAGTTTGAGGCCAGCCTGCTCTGCATAACACATTTGGGGCCAGCTAGAGCTACATAGTGAGAATTTGTCTGAGAAGTGGGGAGGGAGGAAGGACAAGAGAGAAGGAGGAGAAGAAGGGAGGGTGGGAGAGGGGGAGGAAGGAAGGAAAGAACAAAGTTGGGGCTGTTTGATGGTGGAGCACTTTGCCTTTGCCTGCCTTATGTAAGACTTTGGGCTCAACCCCCAATGCTGAAAAAGAAATGAAAGGAAGTAAATACTGTGTTAAAACAGAGTAGAATATCATTGACTATATGCTTCTGTTAACTCTTAGGTAGATGGTGTCTGGATATAAATGCCAGTGCTTTGGAATTTTGATGTCTTCTGTTTATTTACAAATTAATTTCATACTATATTTTACTAAATACAAAACTTTTAATATATGACAAAATCATTGTATTTGAAAACAGAAGTAAGCTTGAACTAAGTTTCTTTTAAATTTCAGATTTTGGAAGCATTTGCCAGTTCTTTGATTCATAGAAATGTTTTGATGAAAAGAGATATTCCCAATCTAACAAAATACCAGATAATTTTGGCAAGAGATCAATTTAGGAAAAACCCATCCCCAAATATTGTGGTACGTATTTTTAAATACATTTTGGTGACTGATTAAGTGTTTATGGAATGCCTGGTGAGAACTAAATGGTAATCTTTAGGTATATATCAATTAGTTTAATAAGAATTTACTTAAAATTAATTGCAGATGGGGTTCACATTTGTAATTCTTGCACTTGGAAGCTGAGCTGAGAGGATTGCTGTCAATTCAAGAACATCTTGGGCTATAGTGTGAAACTGTATCTCACATAAAAAGAGGAGAGGCAGGGGCATGACTCAGCAGCTAAAAGTACTTGCTACCAAGCCTCATGACCTGCGTTCAATCATGGAAACCCATGTGATGGAAGCAATAACTCATAACTCATGTGTCCTCTGGCCTCCTTGTGCATGCCATGACACAAATGTACTCATACATACACATAATAAATTGATAAATGTAAATAAAGCATTTAAGAAAGAATTTAGGTATGGTTTATATAATTTATGCTTTAATTAATTTATGTGTGTTTGAGTTTGAGCACATGTGTCCTGGCACTCATCAGAGTTAGAGAACAGTATTCAGGAGTCCGTTTTCACCTTTCTCCTTGTTGAGAGGCGGCGTCTTTCTTTTTGTTTGTGCTGCCTTGCATACTCCAGACTAGCTGGCACACCATCTCTGTCTTCCATTTTGCCATAAGAGTGCTGGGAATAAAAATGAGCCACACCACATCACGGGTTTTTGTATGGTTTTTTGTTTGTTTTGTTTAGTTTAGTTTGAGGTATAGTCTCAACTATATAACACTGGCTATCCCCAGACTCTGTATGTAGACAGGCTAGCCTTGACCTCATATAAATCTGCCTGCCTTTGAGGTTAAAGGCTTACACCACCATGCCGTGCTCATATGCTTGAGTCATCAGACTTGTGTTGATAGAACTGTGCAATCTCCCAACTCACATGTTTTAGCTTCTAACAAATAGTCTTTTATGGGACTCAGAGGTTAAGAGCACTGGCTGCTCTTCCAGAGGTCCTGAGTCCAATTCCTAGCAACCACATGGTGGCTCACGACTATCTGTAATGAGATCTGGTGCTCTTTTCTGGCATGAAGGTGTACATGCAGACAGCATATTGTATACATAATAAATAAATGAATCTTTAACAAAAAACAAATAGTCCTTTAGTCTATTTCTGACGAAAATTATAAGCCATAACATTTAGTCCAATTCTTGACACAAGAAGTCGGAGGAAGCATTCTAGTATACTTCTGAGAGAGAGAAAATTCTGTTTATTTATTTGTGTGTGTGTGTGTGTGTGTATGCCATACTATGCATGTGGAGGTGAGAGGAAGCTTCCTCCTACAGTGTGGGTTTAGGGATTGTCTTGATGGCAAGTAGCGGTAGCTGCTGAGCCATCTTGCTGCTCTACAAGCTTCTTGTTGAATTTGAGGAGAAAAGTAGTGGATGGATGGGAACATTTCTATTAGACTATGTCCAAAGTCAGAAGAGATGGCCATGATACAGCAGGTGCTGAGTCTTTGAACTGAGAACAGTCCACATCAGAAGGCCAGAGGCTTAAAAGAGGACAGAAACTGATGTGGCTGAGACAGGGTTTGGAAGTCACTAATGTAAGTGGGACCTCACAACACTCGTTTGCAATGTTACAGCAAGAAACTAGGGGCGGAAAGTGCATTTAAGTTGGATGTGGTGACTGATGCCTATCATGTCAGCATTGAGTAGGTTGAGGCAGAAGAGTTGCTGTGTTGCTGAGAGTTCTAAGACAGTGTAGGTTACAGTTTGGGAGCTCTGTCTCAAACAAAATAGATCAGTGCATGGAAGAAAGGAAAGAAGGGTGGGAGAGAAGGAAGTAGTTTCTTTATCAAATACAGGAAAAGAAAAGTTTTTTTGTTTTTGTTTTGTTTTTTTTTTTCCCAGCTCATGATAGACAAAGGCAGGAGGATTGCCTTGAATTTGAAACCAGACTGGTCTATAAACTTGAGTTTGAGGCCAGCTTGAGGCCACATAGCAAGACCCTGTGATACACTCAAACACACACACACACCCAGAGTCTCACAGAAATTAACAAACAAAATATGTCTTTCATGAGGCTAAGTCTATCCAGTTGTCTTCCATTTCCATCGTAACTCATGTATTTGCCTCAGTGCTTGACTTATGGTAGATAATTATTAATTGCTTTGAAAGGACACATGAACCTATATGTTGCAAGCAATTTATCTGTGAAGGAAGATAATAAATACTGGTTTCCTTTGACTGTTTTTAAGGGATAGGCTTCGTATCGAAGCCACTTGATACTTGCCATACCCTGTGCCATGACTTCCACTAGAACCCTCAAGTTATAACCAGTGTAAAGGGAGTGGTTATAAACCATATTGTGTTACAGTGACAGTTTGGCATGGAGATTGTATCTTTTTTTTCTTCTCTGGTTAAATCTGACATATGTTTCTTCCAGGGAATTCAGCAAGGCATAATTGAGGGAGAGTTTGCCATCTGTATTAGTTTATATCATGGTTATGAGTTACTGCAGCAAATGGGAATGCGATCATTATATTTCTTCCTTTCTGGAATCATGGATGGAACCAAAGGTAAATTATATGAAATTGTTTTAAAGAAGTGAAGACATGTGTTATTCTGGTTTAAGACACTGAGCAGTCTGAGTCAGCCTAAACCTGAGTAATCATCCAGTTGTATTCTGGTAACTGTTTCCTCTCCTTAGTCTTCTCAGAGATCCTCCCCACCTCCCCACCAATCCAACTCCACTCCTTTTTTCTCTTTAGAAAACAAACAGGCAGAAAAACAAAACCAAACAGAATAAGAAATTAAAACACACACACACAAGGAAAAATTACAAGAAAAACATAAACACAAACAAAAATAAAAATAGCTACCATAAACAAGTAAGAGACCAATAAGGCAAAAACTACCCAGACAAAGCAATATGAGACAAAAATCTCCGAAGAAACCATTTTGTTCCTTTTGTGTTGATTATCTATTGGTGGGCATGGGGCTTCATAAATATGGCTTATATACCCAGTGAGACTCCAGTGGAGAAAAGTAATTTTTTTCTTTGGAAGCTTCTGCCAATTGGAGATGGTTTCTAGATTAGAGATGAGAGTTTGTGTCCACTTCCTCTTCTCAGCGCTGTGTGAGTTCATGTGTTAGTCTGCTTTCTGTCTCCTGTTCTTCATGTCTCCCTGAGCCCTGAAGGGAGGAGTTTGATGGAGACATTCCATTTAGGACTGACTATTTCAAGGTCTCTCATTCTCTACACATTGTGGGTCTCTGTGCTTAGTTCCCATCTGCTACAAGGAAGAAGCTTTTCTGATGAAGGGTGAGCAACACTCTGATCTTTGGCTATACCAGAGTGTCCTTAGGAGTATAACTGTGCAACTCTGTAACTGTGTAACGACTTGAGTTAACTTTAAGTACTTTGTTTTTAAATGCTATGAACTAATGTAATGATGTTCATGTATAATTGCTTTTAATACCTTGATAGAAAATAATGCATTATGAATGTGGAACAAGAACAAATTGTTGACTTACATGTTAAAACTTGATAATTTTTTGCTTTCATTATTTAGTTTCTTTTTAATAAGTAGTAAATGGGATAGCTTTTTTCTTACTTGCGAAGCCTTTTCGTACTTCCTAAAGGAATGACACGGGCAAAAAACGAGCTCAGCCGAAATGAGGACTTCATGAAGCTCTACACTCACCTGGAGAATGTGTTTGCTCATGTGCGAGATCCCTCAGCAGCCAGCAATGCTGAGACTTTCCAGAAAGGTCTGCTATTTCACTGAAAATTATGTGTTGTTTTAACTGAGTGCAGTGATGGCTGTTTGGGGTGCCAAGGTAGGATCACTGTAGCCCAAGACTTCAGGCCAGCCTCAGCAGCATAGCAAGACCCCTTCAGAAATACTAGTAAATATAGTAAATACTACTATATTGTTTCTCTTGATTGAGATTAATGTTGAAAGTTTTCTCCGTGTATGTCTGTGTATACGTTCTTCTATCTGTGTAGCCACAGTCCTGCTTAATGCATAAGTTTTTTGATCAGTAAGTTAGGATATTAAGGTTGATGTATACAAATTTATATTAGGCTAATAAACTAAATAGATATATCATAGTAGTAGTTACTAAGTAGTGAAAATTTTCAGAACTATTCAACATCGGAATGTGGTTTAGCTAAAAATGTATCTATTCCCCTTCGTTTTGATGAATCCATTTGAATTCTCTCTCAGAATGAAATTTTCATGAAAATTAAAGTTTTTATTTGTACTTACATGCTATCTAGAGGATACTTACATTTAACAGGCAAAAAAGGTTTTTCTGTTTGAGGCTTTTTTTGAGACATAAGGCTTAGCCTTGAACATGTTCTGTCAGTGAGGTGTTGTAAGAGGTTAAAATTTACTATTGGTTTATCTTCTAGTAATGCTGCTGTTAATCCTCGGCAGCTGTATAACCAAATCACCACACAGAGACTGGGTTTTTAGTTAACCTAGAACACAGTGCTGGGCAATATTTACTGCCTCCTAAACCTCCAAGCCCTCAGTTTCTGTGAAATCTTAGGTCTGGTTCATGATCCATGTCCTCCAAGCTCTCTCCTCCAGCTCTGCTCTCCTTGCTCTGCTCCTCTCTCTTCCTCCCACTCATCTCCTGCCTTCTGGCTCCTCCCCTCTTTCCTGTCCTCTGGCTCCTCCCTGCTCAACTTTGTGTCAAGTTGCTTTTATTTTGTTCCTATTTACACAAGAGTTGAGACAGGATGCTTATAGTGAGTATCACAATGCAATATCCGGATTGAAACCAGAGAGTTGGGGGTGGGGAAATCAGCATTTGAATTAACAAGGGTAAGGCGTATACATTTTAAAAGAACATTATATCAACAGTGAGGCTGGCCTTGAAGTCTTGATTTTCCTTCCTCTACCTCCCAAGTGCTGGGATTACAACTCTGTACCACCATACTGAATGAAAATTTTAAGTTTTAACAAGTATTTTTATCTTTGTTTTAGGTTTATTTTTATTGTTTTTAAATATTTGTATGTGTGTGTCTGTGGTGGGTGGGGAGGTGCCTATGAAGGCTGGAGGAACTGGAGTTACAGGTAATTTTGAGTCACCTGATGTGGGTGCTGGGAACCAAACTCAGGCCTTCTGCAAGAGCAGTATATGCTCTTACCTTTTGAGCCACCTCTCCAGCCCTAACATGCATTTTCAAGAAGATACGTTACTTCACTGTAAGATAATTGATATGGGCTGAGCACGGTGATACACACCTTTAATCCTAACACCCTGGAGGCAGAGGCAGGCAGGTCTCTATGAATTCAAGACCATAAGTGATGTGAGAACTATAGAAAAAAATTTTTTTTTCCTTTTTGTCCCCTCTTCAGGAAATAAAGAAAAAAAATTCTTCTATAGTCATCCAAAGTTAAAGAAACTAGAAGAAGTTATAATTGAACATTTCAAGTCATGGAATGGTGGGTAACAATTCGTTTAAACACAAAGTTTAAAAAAGTTTAACTGAAAAAAACTAAAACTTGAGGGAAAAGGTGGATTCTAATTACCATGGCTAATAATATTTAGAACTGCTGAGAAAGTTTGGATAGTCAGCAAAATAAATGATGGAATTTAAGAAATCAGGTTTTACATGAAAAGTTTATTTTGACGGCAATGTAAGGGAATAGAGAATCAAACAGTTCATGTGGGCTTAGTAACTGCTGTGGTTCTAGATCACTGGCAGACAGCAGAAGAGCAAGTGGCACAGTCAGGGAAGTGTTGCTCTTAGCAGTTCTGTCTACCCCATCCCAAACGCTGAGACGCTGGGCAGTGCTGGAGTGGACATAGGCTGTAGTCATTGTTGGTGAATTTGAAGGCACAGCATATTTGAGCTCCCTGCCTGAGTAGATAGGGCCTGGAGTGAAGATGGGGAAGGTGCAGTCCGACGGGGTTCTACAGTGCATCTGTCTGCAAAGGTAAAGAAGGCAACATGCATGTACCTGAATTGAGGGATTAGTCAGGTGCTGATCCAGGCACTGAGATGATTTCTTACAGTAGCCGATGAGAACTAGGGAGTTGAAAACATCTTAAAAACTTCTTGAAGGAGTTACTGGCGACTGTTGGTTTCAGGCTTGTGCTTTCTAGTTGTTGCTCTCTAAACGCTGTTTTGTTTTGTTTTGGGAATAGTCCTAGGCATTGATCAAGCACAAGGCTTTGTACATGCTAGGCCATCTACTACTCAAGTCTCTTCTTAGCCTTAGATGCTTTTTAAAAAAACATAATGTATTTCCTCTTCCGCAGCTAAAAACACCACTGAAAACAAACACCATGAGACCAGAGTTATGATCTTCTCATCATTTCGAGATAGTGTTGAGGAAATTGCAGAAATGCTCTTACAGCATCAACCCGTTATTAGAGTGATGACGTTTGTTGGCCATGCTTCAGGGAAAAACACAAAAGGTTTTACACAGAAGGAACAACTAGAGGTAATTGATTATTAATTCTGTAGGTGATGAAATAAACATAGAATGGATTAGCTCTCTTAAAAACCCATCTTCTGGCCAGGCTGCTGTGGCGTACACCTTTAATCTCAACACTTTGGAGGCAGAAGCACTCGGATCTCCTTCGAGGCCAGCCTGGTCTACAGAGAGAGTTCCAGGACAACCAAGGCTCCACAGAGAGACTCTGTCTTGAAAAAAGAAAAGAGGAAAAACCCATGTTCTAATTGGTTACTTATAGATAATTTTATAGCCAGGATGTGGGTGGCGCATGTCTTTAATCCTAGCGCTCAGGAGGCAGAGACAGGCATTCTCTGACTTCACTGCTAGCCTGGTGTATATAGCATGTTCCAGGCCAGTCCGAGCTACAAAGCAAGACTCAGTCTCCAAAAAAAAAAAGAACACAGTAGCAAAAACAAAAAGACAATCTTATATTTAATATGCAAGTAAAGATAAGCATGTTTTGAAATATCAGATAATGTGGGGTTTTTAAAAATATTAATTATGTATACAGTGCTCTGCCTGCATGCCAGGAAAGGACATGCAGATCTCATTATGGGTGGTTATAAATCACCATGTGGTTGCTGGGAATTGAACTTAGGACCTTTGGAAGAATAGCCATTGCTCTTAACCTCTGAGCCACCTCTCCAGGCCTAGATAATGAGTTTTATATACTTTTGAAACATTTATTTATTTATTCATTCATTTGTTTAATTATATTTTGAGATAGGAGTTATATAGTGGAGCCTAGAACTGCTGATGCTCCTGTCTCTACCTCCCAAATGTGAGGATTTCAGATATTCTATTATCCTTGGTTAAAGCTGGATGATTCTGTTCTTCTATCTCTAGCTTGTTTGCTCGTGGGTTGGCAGAGTTCTAGGAGTAATAAAACATTGTTTTAAAGTTTTACAAAACTCTTATTTTTAATTGTGTGTGTGTGTAGAAATTGTAGGACAGGCTAGGGAAGCCAGCTCCTACCATCCCAGAGCTCATACACAGGTTGTGTAGCTGAGTGGCAAGTGTCCTTATGTGCTGAGTCATATTTCATGCCTGAGGCATTCTTTCTGACTTTCTTATGTATGTAGAGACGTGTGGTCTCACTTTGTAGCCCTAGGAGGCCTGCAACTCATATCTGTCTTCGGATGCTGGGATTGAAGGTGAGAACCACCACCCTGGGACTAAACATCCTTAGTGTAGATGCACCTAATCATATGCTTAGTTTCAGGATATGATACATAGGAATAATTGGCCACAGGCTTTCACCTTCCCTCTTCTCCTTTCTGTGATGCTTAAAGTAAAACCTGCGCTTCCTCATAGATTGAGAAACACGAAGTTACTGGCATCATAGTCACTATTAAAACAACGGAATTAGGATTGTTCCTTCCATTTTATCAGTATTGTTCTGGCTTATTTTCTCCTAATGCTTTATAATCTGAATTCTTACCTTTTCAAGATGAATGGGGAAATATGCAAAGTCTGTAAACCTGTGATATTTTTTTGAAGTGACTTTTGAGTTGTTTGTGTTTGAGGTGGTAAGACAGTTCCGTGACGGTGGCTATAACACGCTGGTTTCCACCTGTGTTGGAGAAGAAGGCTTGGACATAGGGGAAGTCGATCTTATAATATGCTTCGATGCCCAGAAGAGCCCGATTCGCCTCATACAGCGCATGGGTAGGACTGGCCGCAGACGGCAAGGCAGGATTGTCGTTATCCTTGCTCAGGGACGGGAAGAGCGTGTAAGTAGATTGTGTGAGCCTGACATTGAACTCTGAGAAACAACCCAAAGACAGTTGCCAATCTTAGCATTCAAAATCCAAGCACGCTTTTTTTTCCTTCCATTTTTATTAGATTCTTAATTTGTCTGATTATAAGAGAGTTTTTGGCAGAATTCACTTTCCTGATTTTTACTCATTAAAGAACCACATTTTGGTACTTCAGTATATCTCAAAGACAGGTACTGTATAACAACTAATACATATTCACTTTACCATTTCCCTATACTTCTTTTTAATGACAACTTCTCGTAGGCTGGCTTTGGACTCACTTTAGAGCTTAGGATGTCCTGGAACTGCTGGTCTTCCTGGTTTCTTTTCCGAAGTGCTGTGACTGTCTGTGTGCCACAGTGCTGCCACGGTTCATATCATGCCTTGTTGCTGTACGCTAGACGAGCACTTCACCAACTGAGCTGTACATACAGCGCCTCCCTGTACTCCCAAGACATTGATTGCTTAGATTGTTTTCTTTTATATAGAGAAAACAGTATTTTTTGCACCTTATATAATCAGCTAAATAGATAAGCAAGAAGCAAACAACACGCACCATGGATAACACATGGTATGTAGAACCTACTCTGTTGATGTTCCGGTTCTTCATCGAGTTTGCTGGTAGCTCATCTATTCGGTAAGAACTTAAACTATGCTAATACTCTCTACAGTCGTGGGTAGCAGAACTTTCTATATATGATATCACACTTTATTATAATAAAATATCAACTAATCTTATAACACATTGGGACTAGTTCGTGAGCTAACGCACAGTTTCAAAGCACAGATTCTCTCATCATCAAAAATTGTGATAGTTTTTAGAAAGTGATTTGAAATGTTTTATTCACTCTTCAGTTCGGCCTGAAAAATGAACTCTATTTGTAAGACCATTAATAATAAGACCAGTAATAATCATGTGATTATAATTTGTGTATTACCCATGAAATGATCTTAATAAATATAATGTTGACATGTCAAATTATGAGTCTACATCCTGATTTTATTACCTAGCCAGGGCACTTCAACATCTTTATTTATATTTGTATTTTCTTATGTGTAAAATAGTAAAAATGCTCATATTTAATGAGCATTTTTTGTGTTGCTCTGTAGTGTTCCAAGTGCTCTAGAGTAGCTGTTTAATCTGGTCCATGTCTGTGAGCAAAGTAATGATTTTATTGTTGGAGACAGTGAAGAAAGTAGAAATGTAGATAGATGAGCAAACTGAAATAAAGGCTTCATTTCCTTTCCTGTAAATCTTCTCTCTTACATTAAATATAACCTTATACTTGGGTACAAATGTCATCCATATCAAAAGCAGCAAGCCAAATAAATAGTTCTATGGAATTCTCACATATATGTATGTATTTTTCCTTTTTGTTGATTTTCCTCAAGAATATAACAGTTTACTAATCTGTTTTCACATTCAAGTCTATAGGAATTCTATTCCCTAGTACTTAAGTGAATCAAAGTTTAATTTTTATGTTTAAGACAATCTCAAACATACTAGTTGCTTATTATAGCTGAATGATTGTCACACAAAGAATCAAACATTTGTATTTTGTGTTTGTTTTGCAGACATATAATCAGAGTCAGTCAAACAAAAGAAATATTTATAAAGCAATTTCAGGCAACAGACAGGTGCTTCGTTTTTACCAAGGAAGTCCACGAATGATTCCTGATGAAATCAATCCCGAATTACACAAGATGTTCATCACACATGGTGTCTATGAAAGCGAGAAGTCCCGGAATATACAGCAGAAGTTGTTTTCCTCAAGGGGTGGTAAAAAAGACCTTTACTCTTGGCACATTTCTCATGCCCCTCTCCCTGTGTGTATAGTGTGCCCTGTTTTTGTTTCACAGTATAGGACTCTCCTTGCCATTTGTAGATCTTCTAAGCCAGGAGTTCCTGGGGCGTGGGATCCAGCAGCTCAGGCTCCTTTCTGTGCATTTTCACAAAGTGCTTCTCTGGATGGAACAGGCTTGAGCTTCAGTTGGACCCGGGTGCCTTCTCTTTGGCTCTGTTTCTTTTCTGTCTTTTTTCTTCATCCGTTTCAGGAAGCTGTCTTGACTCCGACCATTCTTACCGTGCTCACTGTGCACATTAGCTTTCCTAGCAGGAATCTTGCCCTTCGCATGGCATTTGTTTACAGCAGAGCCAGCAGCATGCTGAGGGCCACTGAAGATGAGCTCATTTTGCCATGGTAACATTTATGAGCCATTCCTTTTTGAATAGTACCTGGTCCCTGAATATCTTCAGTATCACTCTTGTAGATCACATGTGGCCAAAGAAGTACTGTGTTTCTAAAAGGCTTAGAGAACATTCATCAGTGCCTCTCCCCTTTCTTATTGTTTTGTCATTTTGGCGAACTACTGGAAGATGTTAGCTCCACCTGAAAGGAACAGATTATTATTATTATTATTGAATATTATTATTATTGTTGTTGTTGTTAATTATTTACTTAGTTTGTAAGCTCATCAGTATTATGGTTTTTCAAAACAGTTTCTCTGTGCAGCCCTAGCTGTCCTCGAACTCTATCTGTAGACCAGGCTGTCCTGGACTCTGTCTGTAGCCCTGGCTGTCCTGGGCTCTTTCTGTAGACCGGGCTGGCCTCACACTCAGAGCTCCACCTGCCTCTGGGATCAAAGGCATGCGCCACCACTGCCTGGTACACACCCTATCTTGATACAGTAACCTTTGAAAAACTCAGTGCATGTCTTAAGATGCTTTGAGCATTCTCTTCGGAAAGATAAGAAATTATCGATGTGAAAAGGGGAAAACACTGGTGGTATGGAAAGCTGCCTACCTAGTAGCTTTCTGGTACTATTTTACCAAGCCAGAACGGTCCTCTCCACAAAATGTAAAAACAAAACAACAACAACAGAAAAACTCACAGACGAGATAAGCACCGAGTTAGATTGCTGTATGCATTCTACACAGTCTGCTCCATAACAAAGGGAAAAGGAAGTGTCTTCTTGCATGCACAGCAGGTAGGCATGGCTCTCTCCATGAGTGTCCCAGGACTAATGGTAACCCGCCTTCATACAGGGCTGTGCCACCATTGGCCACACAGCCTGTCATCATTCCCTGCTCATTCACAGCCATTTGTACTAATGTGTTACATTTAGAAGCCAGCCTGACTACCTGGAGAGTCCCAGGTCAGTTTTGAGACTGTCTTCAAAGCAAAACAAAACAAAGTTGATATATTTGCTAGTGTATGTTTTCAAACTTCCCCCCTTCCGTTCTGATTTTTCCACTGTCTGTGATTCACCTTCCCAAAATTACATGACTATGTTCTACACTTTTTCTTAAATCATCATACATGTACGCTAGTATGTAATTCATCAAGGTGTAGAGGCCTCAAGTCCTTTTAAGTAACTGAAACATTGGCATCCCCTCCTATTTAAAAAGTTGGAGAGAGAGACAGGAGACATGGCTCAGTGGCAGAGAGCTGCTCTTCCAGGGTACCTGTAACTCCCTGTCCTAGGGGATCTGGTGTCCTCTTTTGGACTTTTTGGGAACTACACACATGTGTTTCACAGACATACATGTAGGCAGAAACATGCATACACATAAAATAAAAAGAAATAAAATATCTTTAAAAATTGAAGTAAGACAGAGAGCCCCTAGGGTCATTTAGCTCAAGCTCTTAAATTTTAGAGATGGGAAAAAATTTTCAGAAAAGTCATTGTTCTAGGAATAGTGCACACTAGTTTCCAAGTTCCCTTTTTGGGGTAACCTTTGAATTTTTTTCTGCCCGAGTCAGGCCAGAGATCTGCTTCACACTCTTTGTCTCCCTTGCCATTTTCTCCTCCAATCTGTCCCTGACTTAAAACTTAAGCTTTGGGTCCTTAATGTTACTCTCCCTTTCCTGAAGCGTCACATACTGTTTTAGTGCTGCTGTGCTGACACTCGTTTTACGTGAATGTCCAAAAGCAGCCAGACACCTCGCTCTAGTCCGCTAATGAAGCCATTGCTAAGGTTAGCTCTTAGAAGGAAAAGACCCTTTCAAAGAAGTGAGAGAAGCTCAGGCAGGCGTGTGACGGAGAAGCAATGCACAGTAGTTTTTCTGTGACCGACTCCAGTTCTCAGGAAGGGGCCTGGCTTAGGCAGAAGTAAATAGACGCACACAGGCGGAGTTCAGTTAGTATGGTGTGTTTTGTTTGTCTTGTGGGTTACTTTAAGCCTCTTTTCAACTATTGTCTCAACTTGCAGGAATGAAGGCTAGAAATTCAAATAAAGATGGACTCCTATCAGAAGAGGAATTTAACCTGTGGAATAGACTCTATAGGTTAGGAGACAGTGACACCGTTAAAGGAGTGGTGTTGCCTCAGTCTCGCTTCCTGTCTTTACAGGAGGGCGCAGCGGTGAGTTGCCTGTGCGCAGTGCTTGCGCAGTGGGTTTGGCAGCAGTGAAGTGCTTGTGATTAGAATGTCAGTTCACTTAAAGTAGTGATCACTCTGAAAAGAAAGCGCCAAAGCCAAACCTCTGAGAACCACTCCTTCTCTCATTTGCTTCCGTTAGCTGCTTTTCCTGTCGCCTGCAGTTTGATTCCTACATGCTACATGGTTAGCTTCGCCATGCAGGGTGACACAGAATGCTTGGCTATTTCCCTACTGTGCTTTTGATTCTTAGTGTTTTGCTGGCATGTGGTATTGTCCTTATTTGTTTAACCTATTTGAAACTTTAGTCAAGACTTTAATCGGATGCCATAGCTATGATGGAGAGAACTGAGCCAGGTGGCCCGTCCCCTGAGACAGCCGGAGGAAGAAGCTCAGGGATGGCTTCTTAATCTGGCTAGGGGGATGTGTTTCAGTCCCCAGCAGGCAGAATAAGGAAAGGCCGTGGACATGCAGAGTTACAGTCCAGGGATGTTATGGGCGCCACCCCATTTTCCTGTGGGGTCTATATACAGCAAAGTAGTGACTTTAAGACCAGGCATATTTTCTCAGATGTTTGCTCTTAGCATGTTTTATAGAAACAGAAATATGGTAAATCATAACTGAAGAGACAGTTAATTTTAAGTGTATTTAAAAGAGCAAATTTATACTTTACAAAATTATTTTCTTTTTTGTCCCTTGAGAATTTTAATTTAGGGTGCCAATGTGAATTTAAGTGGTTTATGTTAGGTTTGTTATTTGAAACTGACCATGTCTTTAAAATGGGGTTGTGAAAACTCATGTCTTGTTATTTCTTAAATTGTAAATTAAGACTCAAGAAGCAGCTACTGGGATCCATCAGCTCTCTCTCTCTGAATGGAGTCTGTGGCAGGATCACCCACTCTCCACCTACCAAGTGGACCACTCAGACCGGTGCCACCATTTTATAAGCATTATGCAGATGATTGAAGGAATGAAGCACGAAGAGGTAGCGTTTCCCACGGCTCTCCCTCCCTTTCCTCAGTTCTCTTCTCCTCTATTCCACTCTCCCTCCCTGTTTCTCCCTCTCCCTCTCTTCCTCTCTCTCTGTCATTTGTTGCAGACAGGGTCCTGCTGTGTAGCTTCAGTTCCAGAATAACCGCTTCAGCCTTCTGAGTGCTGGGATACAGGCATGTGCTGCCACCACTGGCCACGTGGCTGTGTTTCTCTCTTGCGAGTGTGGTGATGGAA